ATCCAGTATATAATACAAAGCAAGTATTATTAGCTCTAAAGAGAGAGATAGACTCCAATACAATAGTAGTTAGGAACTTCAACACCCCACTGTCAGCACTGGACAGATCATCTAGACAAAAAATCAGCAAAGAAACATTAGACTTAAAATACACTTTAGACCCAATGGACCTAACAGATATATACAAAGCATTTCATCCAGCAGCTGCAGAATATACATTATTTTCTCAGCACATGGAACATTCACCAGGATAGACCACATGTTAGGCCACAAAACGAATTTCAACAAATTTAAAATAATTGAGGCGGTCAGGTGCTCAAGCCTTTAATCCCAGCATTTTGGGAGGCCAAGGTGGGTGGATCACTTGAGGTCAGGAGTTCGAGACCACCCTGGCCAACATGATGAAACTCCGTCTCTACTAAAAATACAAAAATTAGCCAGGAGTGGTGGCACATGCCTGTAATCCCAGCTACTCAGGAGCCTGAGGCAAGAGAATCACTTGAACCTAGAAGGTGGAGGTTGCAGTAAACCAAGATCATGCCACTGCACTCCAACCTGGGCAACAGAGTGAGACTCTGTCTCAAAATAAATAAATTAAATAATTGCCAGGCATGGTGACTCACGCCTGTAATCCCACCACTTTGGGAGGCTGAAGCGGGTGGATCACTTGAGTTCGTGACCAGCTGGCCAACATGGCAAAACCCTGTCTGTACTAAAAATACAAAAATTAGCCAGGTGTGGTAGTGGGCGCCTGTAATCCCAGCTACTCAGGAGGCTGCGGCAGGAGAATTGCTTGAACCCAGGAGGTGGAGGTTACAGAGCCAAGATCACACCATTGCACACTCCAGCCTGTTTGACTGAGTGAGACTCTTATCTCAAAAGAAAAAAAAAGATACTTGATTTTTTTTTTTTTTTTTTTTTTGAGACAGGGTTCCACTCTGGTGAGATCATGACTCACTGGAACCTTCACCTCCTGGGCTCAAGCGATCCTCCCACATCAGCCTCCCGAGTAGTTAGGGCCACAGGCACATGCTACGATGCCTGGCTAATTTTGGCATTTTTTGTAGAGACAAGGTTTTTCACTATGTTACCCAGGCTGGGTTTAAGCAATCCACCTACCTTGGCTTCCCAAAGCGCTGGGATTACAGATGTGAGCCACTGCACCCAGCCTCAGTTTTTTTTAAATTTTATTTAATGTTGACCAGGCTGGTCTCGAACTCCTGACGTCAAATGATCTGCCCACCTTGGCCTCCCAAAGTACTAGGATTACAGTCATGAGTCACCATGCCCGGCCTCAAATATCTTTTACATGGAAATTAAACAATATGCTCCTGAACAACCAGTGGGTCAGTGAAGAAATTAAGAAGAAATTTTTAAGATTTCTTGGAACAAATGAAAATAGAAATACAACATTCCAAACCTTGTGGGATAGAACAAAAACAGAATTCAGAGGGAAGTTTATAGCAATAAACATTTACATCAAAAACATAGAAACACCTGGGCACATGGTACACACCTGTAATCCCAGCACTTTAGGAAGCTGAGGCAGGAGGACTGCTTGAGCCCACAAGTTCAAGACAAGCCTGGGCAACATAGTGAGACCTCATCTGTACAAAAAATTTAAAAATTAGCTGGGCATGCTGGCACACACTTGTTGTCCCAGCTACTCAGGAGGCAGAGGTGGGAGGATCACTGGAGCCCAGAAGGTCGAGGCTGCAAGGTTCTGTCTCAAAAAAACAAGGTATTAATATCCAGGATAGACAAAGAACTCAAACAACTGAACAACAAAAAAACAAATAATTTGATTTTAAAATGGGCAAATGTCTCAAGAGAGTAATCGAGAGGACCAACAGGTATATGTAAAAATGTTCAACATCAGTAATCACCAGGGAAATGCCAATTAAAATCACAATGAGATATCATCTCACCCAGATTAGTATAGTCATTATCAAGAAGACAAAGAATGCAGAGAAAGGGGAACTCATATACACTATTGTTGGCAATGTAAATTAGTACAGCCGTTGTGGATATCAGTGTGGAAGTTCCTCATAAAACTAAAATTAAAACTACCATATGATCCAGCCATCCCACTACTGGGTATCTATGCAAAGGAAAGGAAACAGTGTGTCAAGAAGATATCTGCATCCCCATGTTTATTGCAGTACTGTTATAATAGCCAAGATATGGAATCAGCCTAAGTGTCCATCAGCAGATGATGAATGGATAAAGAAAATACGGTATTTATACACAATGGAATGCTCTTCAGCCACACAAAAGAATGAAATTCTGTCATTTGTGGCAACATGGATGAGCCTGGAGGACATTATATTATATGAAATAAGCCAACCACAGAGAGAGAAATACTGCATGATCTCGCTGGTGCAAGCTGTAAAAGCTGATGTCACACAAGTATAGAGTAAAATAGTAGTTACTAGAGGCAGGAAAGGGAGGGTGATTACCAAAGACTGATTAACAGATACAAAATTACAACTAGATAGGAGGAATAAGTTCTAATATTCTATAGCACTATAGGATGGCTATAATTAGCAACTTACTGTATATTTTCAAATAACCAGGAGAGCGGGTTTGGAATTTTCTTGACACAATGTTTGAGGTGTAGATAT